TTTCACTGTACAAAACAGGACATCTGTCCACAAGTCTCCCCAGTCTGAGGCCTGTAACACAACCAGCCACCAGGGGGTGTTTGTGTTACGGTAGCTTCACTTCTGAAAGATGTCGTGGCATCCATATTTTATACAGTCAGTGGTTTGGCCTAATGGAAACCATTAGCCTAGCTTAGCTCAAAGACTGAAAGCAGCTAGAAACTGTTAGTCTAGCTTAGTTCAAGGATACTCTCCTGAACTAAGAGTGGACCTGTTGGTTTGATCTCCACTGATACTGGCAGACCACAGGATAGAGTGATGACTTGCTGGTTATCTAACAATGAAATTGGATTAAATCCACTTCCCACATTACACTGACTGCTCTGAGAGGATTTGCTAAAATGTGGGATTGTTTTTAGTGTCACATGAACAGTGAGACTGAGATGGTCTTGGATGGCAGCTGTAAACTAATGGCCAGAATTTTAAACAATTGATATGTTGAATATTTTCTTTTATCATGTGGCTGTATGCTTCACTTCTGTGTCAGCATTATGAATAACAGACACTGTGTAAAAAATAAAGGGGCCTGAATACTTTGTGAACAAATCATAACCGTGGCAGTTGTTTTTAGAAAATTCATGTGTGAATTATCCTGTTCACATGTGCTTTATTGTTGGTTTTCTGTTAAATATATACATGTGATTTTTGTAATGTATAAAGTGAAACACTTTCTTCCACTGTATTTACTTGGTTATTTTTGAAAAGTTTTGTCAAAAAAGAAAGCAAGGAAAAGGGGCAGTACTGTGCAGAGCGTTGCCCCTGATGTCACACTGTACCTTGTGAAAGTGGAAGCATTTTAAAAAATATATGTTAGCTAATGGTCATTTCAGATTTACAACCCCAGATCAGAAAAAGTTGGGACGGTATGTAAAATCAAAATTAAATCTGAAACTAGTGATGTGTAAATCATCTGTGTCCTGTATCACACCGACAACATTAGAGCAGCACATTCTCTGATGTGACAAGTGTGATAGAAAACTGTCCTTATTAATATATTGCCTTATTAACATATTGATTATTGCTATGCAGTTTTTGTACATAGTTATTTGTGTGCTTATGAAACCAGACAAACTTCAGTGTCAAAGTGTCTTCAGTGAAAAGCATGTCCTTGTATGGATGTTAAAGAGGCAGCTTCTTTCCTGTGTGACAGACGTTTCCTTAAACCTTTACATGACCTTAACAGACCGAAACTACAAGCAACACTCATGTCTATGTATAAATGGAAATGCAGCTCTCTGCTTAGAGAGCTTCTCCTTCAGACTGTTATGTTTGACACTCTGTGAGAGTTTGCTCCTTCCTGCAGGAATAAATGTGCATCAACCTCCAGAATTGGTATCAACTTTTATTTGATATCACCGAATCCTGATAAGACAATTTTTGCCATAACACACATCAGCTTTATTCTTTGCTCATAATAAACACTCACTTCAATTCTGATGCTTTAACACGTTCCAAAGTTGGGACGGTGAAGCGTTTACCATGGTGTGAAGCTGCCGTTCCTTTCCACAACACTTAAAAGACGTTTAGGGACTGAGGACACCGAGTGATTCAGTGGGTCAAACCAAACCCAGTAGAACCCTCAGACTCTTATTGATCCCGGTGGGAAATCCACCAGCTACCCAGCAGGATAGAAAGTACCTCACAGTATAAGTATATAAGGTAGTTACCATCAGCTCCACCTTTACCAGCTGCAGCATTAAAGTGATGGACACAGTAACGCATCAGTCACTATGATCCAGTAGTATCAGAGACATTGCTGGGACACGGGCTGTTCTGCAGGACGAGTACTGTACTGTTGGTACTTCAGGTAGATTTTGATGCTGATACTTTTATACTTTTACTTAAGTAACATGAATGCAGGACTTTTACTTGTAACAGAGTATCTGTTATTACTACTTGTACTTAATTAAAGGATCTCACTCCTTCCTCTACCACCATCCATCCCGTTGATTGATCTTGTTAGTGTTGATGCAGTGCATGTTCCCACCACCAGAGACAGCAGATTCACCTGCGGCTCCGGGCCGTGAGCGATGAAGAAATGGTCCGCCATCTTGGATTCACAGGCGTACTTAAAAGTTAATGGCAATAACTGCGGTATGATGCATCTGTGAACGTTGTGTTTTATGACTTTACAGCCGCTTGGATTCGGACATTCTTTCCCTGATGATGCCTGACAGTTCCGTCCTTCCTGAGGTGGGTTCATATTGCTGACATTCTTCTGTTGGCAGCCGAGCTCTGAACTCTGGAAATGCGGTTCTGCATTTAAAGCAGCAGGTGTACACACTCTCCTAAACTAGCGGCCTGACATGTTTTAGACAGATGTTTGAGACAAAACACAAACTGTTAAACTCCTCCTTGTGGGGAAAATTGACTTTTTATTGTCCAAATCGGGTTTCATTGCCGCTTGGCTTAAACATAGGCTGTAGAGGCTCCATATTTACACAGTCCTTATTGGCGTTACCGCGGCCGCCATGTTGGTGCGGAGAAGTGGAACCTGCTAATAACTCAAACCGTTATCATCTGTGTTATCATTCAACATTCACGGTGCTGGTGGGAAAAGACACACCAAAAAAGTGCATCTCAGACTTATTAGCTGGTCGGTCCTCAGACCAGGTCTCCCCGCGTCTGCTTCAGCTCAGACTGTGTCCCGGGACGTCTGGTGTGGACGCTGTCTGAGCTCAGTTACAGCAGCTCGGCTGGGTTCAGGTCTGGCTCTGACTGGACCCCTGCTCATTGTCCAGCTGTGGCTCTACGAGCTCCAACTGCTGCACAGCCACCCTGATTATCCTGGAATTCTTGTTCTCCTAGATGTGTCCTCTCCCCTTTGTTTTATACACAGTGCCAAAGCACTGACAGACGCTATCTCATCAGATTTAAGGAGGATACTGTTGTTGTGGTTCTCCTCAGAAATGACTCTGAGCACGGTCCTGTTGTGACCGATTTTATTGATTGGTGCAAATCATCCTATTTAAACAATGTGGCACAAACAAAAGAGATGTGCTCTGATTTTAGTAAAACCCCCTCTGCCATCCGTTATGATGGAAAATCAGGCTGTTGGACTGGAGCAGCAGTACAAATACCTCGGTACTGTGATGGACAACATTGCAGTGATTTGCACACTGCTGCTTTAACAGAAACTGATTTCATTGTATGTGCGTGGTAATGTCCTGCAGAGCGGGGACACTGCTGCTGTTGTGCCCGGCGTCGCCGTCTGCAGCTTTGTATGGCCTCTTCTGTTCAGCTCCCTGGACACTTGCCAGTGTGTGTGTGTGCGTAATGAGCTGTGCTGTTAGCGTGCCTGTCATGCAGCCTCATTATCCTGTCAGCGCACCTCCTACACTAACTCTGCCTGTGCGAGTGTGTGTGTGTGTGCGCGCTTTCAGGGCCCTGTGCCAAATGCCAGGCGCCAGTCCATGACCTCACTTCAACCCAGCTCTAGCACTGTTTTGTCAACACTTTGTGTGTGTGTGTGTGTGGCATGTTTGCAGATGATCAGCTGTGTCAAAGAGTTTTATAAGAGTGCTACAGTTTGTGTGTGTGTGTGTGTGTGCCTTGTGCAGCTTTAAAGGAGCACTGTGTGTCATGTCTCATTGAAGAGGTGCACAGTGGACACACACAGTGTGGGAGCTGATGTTGACTCACTCTTAGTGGACCTGCTGTCTCAGCCAGTGTATGAAGTGGACGTCAGTCACTGGCTTGTGTTGGAGCCAGTTTGGAGCTCAGAGCTGCAGCTCTGGACCCAGGATCTTCCAGTAGTGAGCTGGTGGTGTTGCCCTGGCCCGGCCGCTTCCTGCAACCGAATGTTACTTCACTGAGGACCACAGCTGAACTGCCAATGCTCTGTTTCAGCTGCCAAGTGAGCTCAGCTGCTTGTTGACAAAGCTGTGTTTGATACCAGTAAAGTTAACTTCACCTGATGCAGAAACACTCAAATTCAGTCCAGGAGCTGAGACAGCAGCAGGCAGCCACCTGTCAATCACAGCTGCTGTTAGCCCACTGATCTGATTATTGCAGCAGCAACTTCCAACACTCCCAGCAGGGCACTGGGCACGAGGCTGAGACCAGAATGCATCCTGAAGAACACGGATGTAGTGGTTCTGTAGAGAACCTGATACTGTGTAGCGGCTATCAGTGGCGTTGACGTGCTTCTGTAGAGAACCTGATGCCGTGTAGCGGCTATCAGTGGCGTTGACCTCGAGCTGTGCTAGCTGCTGCCTGGTGTGAGCTCTGTCCCACCTGTACTGTCAGATAAACCCTCTGGCTGCAGGATGTTGATATGTGTAAAACAGATTTAATAGAGCCAGGCTTGCATTTTCCCTCCACTCCCAGTCTCTGTGCTCATCTGAACCCATCCTGAGCTCTGTACTGGACTTGGAGACTGATCCACCTGGGGAGGCATTAGATAGAACTGCAGCTGCTGTGTGCTCTGGTGTGTTTACCTTCAGATCATCCAGAGAATAATTATGACAGACAGATGGAGACAGACCTGGTGCAGTCGTTCAGAGTGTGTGTCCACACAAACAGTAGGAACCAGGATTCACTGTGATGAGCAGGTTGTTGTTTTTCTGTTTTTATCTCACTAATGTCCATTTGCAGTTGAGACACATCAGCTTTAGGGTTTTGTTTATTTGGCTATTGAAGTTTTTCACTTTAACAAAAGCAACATTCTGGAGAAAAAATAAAAATCACCAACTCTTTAGCATCAAACTGCTTAAATATAGAGATAAAATACAATGTTAAACATGAGGACATCATCGTCAGCTTTCCCAAGATGAGCTGAGAAAGGCCGCCCCTAGAAAACATGGCTGCAGTTCCTCAGTCGTCCACTAGATGGCTACCAAGAAAAACAAATGCATTAAAGTGAATGTGAAAACCCATTGACCGCATTTTCAGCTCTTGGCTAATTTCACCTGTGATGAGTCTCAGAATAAACCGGTGTAAACAGGTGTGTTTCTCCACCCCCTGAACGTCACCCACGCTCTTCACCACATGACACCTCCAGCTTCAGACAACGAAGACGTCGCAGGGCGAACTCGAACGTCCATTTAGATTTCTGTCTGTAAGTCAGACAAGAGGTTTTATTTTCTTGGTCCATGTTTCAATCCGCAGGTTGCAGCTTGTGGACAGGTGGGTTCAGAGGAAACTTGATAAAGCCAAAGTTGGTGCATGTGTGCAGGAGCTCAGACTCCCAGCAAGATCCCAGAGAACGGAGAGTCCTGCAGCACGCTGATGGCCGAGCCGGTGCCGTTGTCCACATACACTGACACGTACTCCCCAGCCTGCACACACAGACACACACATCTTGTCAGCTACAAAGACACAGTGGTTGGGTGAAGGATCAGCTCCGTTCAAAGAAATCAAGTGATACTGAGCTGATTGTGCAGCAGAGCTCTGACACCTGAAGGTCAGCACACAGTTTAAGTTGGATCACTTTGCCCTCCCTCTTAGTTTGCAAGCTGCGTGTCTGCACACATGGCGGAGTGACGTAATGTGTGTGTCTCCACAGTAGACCGCCTACTGGGTGACAGATGGCTGTTTGTTTGTTTGGTTGTTGTTGTCTGAGCTCTTTGACACCTGCTGTCTGCCTCCCTCCCTGTTTACAGCAGCCTGGCCCCCCCAGAGAAGGGACTGTTTCTCAGGGGCTGAGGAGGAAACCCGGCCCCTGGAACAGGCCCCTGGCCCTGCCCAGGTGTGTGCAGTGGAGAACTGTGGTCAGGTGCCAAGTGTTGGCCTACCTGCAGGTAGAGCGTTCCTGTCAGTAAGATGCTGAATGTTCCTCCAGCAGCCGTCACACCCATCACTGACTCGACAGAGCTGTAGCATAAACACAGACACACAACAGGTGTCAGTATCCCCATGCTAACGGGGTCACAGAGAAAGCCTGACTGAGATGGAGCTGAAACAAAGGGGGAGAAATTCATCTGCAGTTTTTTCTCGTCTCACCTTGGACTGGGGGACAAAACAGACTTTTCACTACGTACTGGTGTTTGTTGAAAATAATTCTTATTAATCAGTGATGTGAATAAGCTGGTGGTGGTGCTGATGTGAACAGGGATGGGGCTCTGTGGTCGGGGGCTTTGGCCTCAGGTTGACAAGAGGTTAGTGGAGATTCTTGATGGAACCGCTGTGTGGACAGAGGCGGGGCACTGTGGAAACAGGAGCAGCACACAACACCGTAGTCTAAACAGCACTGTGCAACACAGACGACGGGGCGAGTACTCACAGGTTGCTCTGGCAGAGTGACTCGATGCAGATCGCTGCTCTCACGTGGTCTCTGAGCCGCATCTGGACTCTGTCACCAGACTCTGACACACACACAGAAACACACACACGGGTCATTGACGTGTCACAACAGCAGTAGGTGTCGGTCTGTTGGAGTCGCAGATGGTTGGATGTAGTACACAACAACAGACGGGTCTGTGTGTGTCATTTTGTGTACACGGACCTGTCGGTATGCTTGTAGGTGTACACAAGATGCAGTTGTGGACTGTGGCCTTTGTGAATGTGCGCGGCAGCACAGACACACATTGTGCTGCTTGTTATAAATGAAGGGAGCAGACTGTCGGTTGGTTCTGCAGGTTACCTGTAACGTGGGTGAGTCTGCAGTGAGACGAGTTTATGCTGAGGGGTCACAGCGCCTCGTGCTTTGGGTGTTGGGGGAAATGTCTCTGTAGCTGTAACGGACTGTTCTCAGTACCGTGGTTTGACAAACATGTTTTTTTCTTATATACCACACTTCCTGTTTGATCGGTGTTTGTCGTGAACAAATAAAAACATAAAATCTAGTTTAAGTTACCAGGGTTTCTTTCTTTAAATTGGTAAACAACGTGGTCAGACAAGAACATGTCCGGGACGGCAAAGACAACATTTAGCAGTTGTCAGTGATCAGTGGCACAGACACATTCAGCCTGGACTGACAGGTTTGTCTGGTGTGTGTGCTCCGGCCTGCAGGTCACTGTACATCGCTGTGTTTGTGTGGCTGGCTGCATGCAGCTCCCACCTATCAGCAGGCTGGCGGTGAGCTGGTAGAAGCCAGAGACGGGCGCTGTGTATCGGCCGATGCTGGCGTTGAAGCTCTGACCTCTCTGGAGGCTGCGCTCGGAGTCGGAGGGCTACAGGGGTCAAAGGTCAAACACAAGATGCAGTTAATTGCTGCCTGAGCTGCAGTGGACCTCACAGTTCAGTTTTAAAGAACTGCATTAGAGTAAAGTGTCCTGTCCTGACCTGGCTGAACGGCTGCAGCTCCAACAGGCTGCGCCGTGGGATGGAGACGGTCTGCAGGAGGCGGCTGCGGAAGGAGGTGGAGACCCGAGGGGGGCGATCGCACAGCAGACACACGTCTCCGGCTACGTCTGAGAGCAGAAGGAAGAGAAAAAAGAGAAGTGATGTGTATGGACAGAAGTTGTTTCAAAAGTGGTTTAATGTGAGCAGAAGGTCTGTGGCAGGGTGCCAGCTTAGCACAGCGGGTTGGAGGATGCATCGGTCGCCGAGCGTCCTCAGACCCACAGAGGTATGAACGTGTTGGCTGCGCTCTGTGGAAATGCACCAGCTCCTGCTGTCTGTTGTGAACTCTGGGTAAGCTGCATCTCCTGTCCAACCTCAGAGCATGACCAGCCTGGGAAGAGGTTTGTAATTCAGACTCCGTTTCCCAGCTGGTTAACAACAGCAAGATCCACGGCACAGAGCGATAAGCTGGAACCAGGGGCTGGGCTCACACATTACAGTGTGGACATCACGTTTACTGGTCTCTGGACGGGGTTTGTGCACAGTAACACACACACAGGATCGCCGGCTGCATTTTTTAAGTGCATGATTAACTTTTGTAGCAGCATCTTTTCATCAGTTAGTTTTTACTTTCAGCAGTGTTGTAGGTCTCTTCCCAGGCTTAGAAATAAAAAGGGCTAAACACATCTGAACATGTACAGATGTAAAATATGAATACATGTAGAAGCAACCTGAGGAAAACAGGCAACATGCATGGAGGAGCAAAGTTGCACACACACACACACAAA